TCGAAAAATAATTGGCTAGTGCCATAAAAAAGTCACATGACCGGAAAATTTTTTGTGGGTGAGCTACTAACGTCTTGATAATACAATATATATATATATATATATATATAACTAAATATTAATTATTATATGAGCTTGTTTTAAACTATTTTTTTTTAACGAGCTGATGAAAAAAAGTTCACTAGCGATAGTAAATACTATAATTTATGAAGATTTGTAATTAATGACATAATTGGAATGAGTGTTCTCTGCTAAATTTTCGATAACAATATTAGGCAAGAAAGTATCAATGTCTTCGTCCGTTGATTAGCAATATTTCAATGCAAATCTGTATATAAAGCTTATTAAAAAAAAAGAAGTATGAATGTTTTACAACTATAAACAACTATAATATTAGCAAAGTATAATATCATTCCTAGGTGTAATTTTTATGAATACTCCTTCAATAATGGAATTAAATATCATACTTTTATAATGTAACTCTTCGTTAATCAAAGTAACATCATACTTTCTAAACAACATTGCAATTATTCCTTTCATTTCAATCATTGCCAATTTTTTACCGGGACATTGTCTAATTCCTTTACCAAAAAATATAAAATTACTTTTCACTACTTTATCATCTCTCATAAATCTATCTGGATTGAAGACTTCTGGATCTTTCCAACACTGTGGATTTTTATTTCCACCTTCAAAGAACATTATAAATTCGGAGCGTGCTGGCCATTGATAGCCAAGTAATTCATCAGGTTCAACGTTTTCACGAGAAGCTGAATGAGCAATATGATGCATTCTTACTGCTTCATTGATTACAGCTTCGCAGTATTTTAATTCAGTGAGGTCGTTTGAAGTAAATGGACGATCACGATCTTCACCGAAAATCTTGTCAAGTTCTTGACGAAGTTTTTTTAAAACTTTCGGATGCTTGCATATATAATAGATTAAAACACAGATTGCATTCGTGGTCTATTAAAGTAAAATGAACAGTATTTAAAAAAATTATTTAAGATTATCTAAATAAATGAAGTTTTTGCTGTAGTTACCGTTTCGCTTCCACCAATGAAAGCATCCCTAATATTTCCCATAATTTCATCATCAGTCATAGGTCGTAAATCAGGCTTGCTACTATCATCCCTTTCAGTATTTGCCACAATAAGTAATGATAACATGTCATTAAATACTTTATCATCACTTTTCTCAATCTCTTTTCTTCTATTTTTAATAATTTCCATAATTTTTCCATGAATATTATCACGACTTTCTATTCCAGCTTTAGTTATATTTTTAAGTACTGGCATATAATGTCTAATGTAATACGGGTAAATGGCAAATGTTGTGAATACTGAAACAAACTTTTGCACATTATTGATAAAATACTCTGAATCATCTAATATGGCTGGTGGAATATCTACAATGTTCTTTGTAGTAAGTTTATTAAAATAAACAGGCAATGTATAAGCCCTTTTTCCGGTAGTAATTTCAATAATCATATCAATGGTATATCGTTGCATCCATTCAGATAAATCGATTTGATCAAGAGAGTTCCAATATTCTTCCATCTCTTTCCACATTTTATTAGCAGAATCAATAGCTTTAATATTAAAACTAGGAGCAAGCATAGCATGAGTAAAAAAATATCGATTGAATTTCCAACTATCAAGGTCATCATTTGCCAATATTCCTCGTTGGTTCATTCCAAGTTCGTAAAGACCTTCGTTAGGTCCCGTACGAGATGACCATTTAGTTTTTGTAGATGATGAAAGTAATTTATCAAAGTATTCAGCACGACACAAATAAATCTTGCGTTTATTACTTAACCAGACTTCAAAAACATCACCATATTGTTGTTGGAGTTTAAGAATCCATTTATTGTATCCGTCACGTTTATTCCAAAGCTATAAAAATCAATATTAATTATAATTTTTTAAGAAAATAAAAGTCAAAGATAAATTTGCAACGGCATAAAACAATAAATAAATATGATACTAACAGATCCAATGATGGGTAATGGAAACGGTCCTGGAAGTTTGTTAACGCGAGTAAAATATATATAATAGAAATGACCAACATATAAAAACGCTAAGAATAACAATATATCTAGGAAATATTTAAAACTAAAGTGAAATGATAAGCTTTGTAATAATGACATTTCTTCTAGTTTTAAATAATTCGATCTTTTGTGCCGTTTAAAAATACAAATAAAGCAATATATATATATAATGTTTTTGATGAAAAAGCAGCGCGAATAATTCATAAATTTATATAAAAAAAAAAAAAGAGCATTCAATCATTAATTTAAACATTTTTGAATGGTGTACCAATTAATGCAGTGTTGAATTCGGACATATTTCCGGTAATTTTGCGTAAATTTGGAAATAAAACTTATATGCTTAATCACCAATAAGCAATTTTATATGTCCAACCACACGACAATAGATCAACATTTAATTTGATCACATTGAAAGTTATCCTGCAATATGAATTTCATTACTTTAAACGTGAATAATTA